TCTAGCACCCAACGGTGAGGTGGTGAATCTATTTTAAGGAGACTGTGGTATCACACAGGCTTCGGTTTGCTTCCTTTAACCATTTTATATTTTATCTGTATTTTATTCAGCATGTTATTTTTCCTGGGATTGAAGGTTTGTTTTGTTGATAAGTGTGTATATGTTAAAGACACTGACAAAGGTTATGTCATTTTGTGTCTATACGTTGATGACATACTCATTGTTGGTAGGAATGATGAAATGATTAAAGCTACCAAAAGATTGTTAAACTCTAAGTTTGACATGAAGGATATGGGCCTTGCAGATGTCATTCTGGGTGTTAAGATCACCAGAACATCTGGTGGTATTGTACTTTCTCAAGCTCATTATGTTAATAAGATACTTGAGAAATTTGGAAAGTCAGATACAAGTATGTTTAGGACACCGGTAGACTTAAGTCTATATTTGACCAAGAATAATGGTGAGAGTGTCTTTCAACTAGAATATTCTAGGGTCATTAGGAGTTTGATATATCTGATGAGTTGTACAAGGCCGGATATTGCCTACGCTGTTAGTAGGCTGAGTAGATACACAAGTAATCCTAATGCTACTCATCGGAAGGGCATTATGCGTGTGTTGGGGTATATCCGTTACACCTTGGATTATGGGCTGCATTATACCAGATACCCAGCGGTACTAGAAGATTATAGTGACGCAAATTGGATATCAGATATAAAAGATTCCAAATCCACTAGTGGTTATGTGTTTACCCTAGGAGGGGCAGCCGTGTCTTGGAAATCTGCCAAACAAACGTGTATCTCGAGATCAACGATAGAATCTGAGTTTATTGCTTTAGATAAAGAAACTGAAGAAGTTGAATGGCTTCGCCAGTTTGTTGAGGATATTCCACGTTGGCCGAAACCTGTGCCAGCTATTAGTATTCATTGCGATAGCCAATCAGCGATTGGTCGGGCACAGAGTAATATGTATAATGGAAAGTTTAGACATATCCGTCGTAGATATAATTCCATACGACAACTACTCTCAAATAGAGTTGTCTCTCTAGACTATGTCAAGTCTAAGGACAACATTGCGGATCCGCTAACCAAATGATTAACTCGAGAGTTTGTAGAAAAGTCGTCAAGAGGAATGGGGTTAAGACCTTTAGTAAAGGTTATCGGAACGGAAAACCCAACCTAGTTGACTGGAGATCCCAAGATCTAGGTTCAAATGGACAACCTAACTTCGTGTAACGGGTGAGTCACTGAAGAGGTAAATCCTCTTGCCCATTCCTTTATACAGTGATGCCCTGTGGGGGTGGAAGGTTAAGCTAATGCTTTTAATGACCTTAGTGATGTGGTATAATGAAATACTGTATCTAGGTCACCTATGTGAGTGCGAAGTGGAGCCGCTTCTTTAAGAATTGCCAAGGCCGAATTCTTTAAAAACACTCACAGAACTAGGCTAGTGTTCCAGGGCCATACCGGACACACCATTGAGAACAAGAACAATGGTTGGACTAACTCCTATGTGATGTCTATTGTCTCGGTTTACATAAACGGCAGAACAGTTCAAGGCATCACGTTCACTGGTCAGCCAGTAAAGCCGATAGGCTTTCACTACGAAAGGTTCAAGGCCAACAACTACCTTTTCTGATGCAAGGTTAGTCTATGTGCTCTCTCTCTTTCTGAGTCTTTGTTGATAAACGTTGAGCATTTGCTGTATTCGGTCAATTTTTATTCATGTGGGGGATTGTTAGAGAAAAATGGTTGAATAAGAAATTGCCTCATAAATGTGTATATAACTCACACATTTAAGGCTCATCAATTTTACAAAATTGATTAGGCAGTTTTGCTAGCATTAGTTGCCAGCCTTGATGGCTAGAAGCTCCTTCCCTCTCTCCCATGATGTATAAAAGGAGGCCCTATTCCTTGAAAAAATATATAGAATTTTTCCTTGACATCCATACACTGTCAGTCTACTTCTCCTATAATTTTCTTCCTGAGAGAGAGTGCTGCCGTTGTCCGTTCGCTAAGCTAATCAGAAGGTGCTTCTGTTGTAGCTGGTAAAAACCGTCGTATCCTGAGAAGTAGACGCCAGCGTAACTCTAGCACCCAACGGTGAGGCGGCGAATCTATTTTAAGGAAACTGTGGTATCACACAGGCTTCGGTTTGCTTCCTTTAACCATTTTATATTTTATCTGTATTTTATTCAGTATTTTATTTTTCCTGGGATTGAAATTTTGTTTCGTTCATGTCATAATTTTGCGATATGCAATGTGAAATTATGTAATGTGAGTAGTTTTTCCCAACAGAAGATTGGGTTTTCTGGGCTGGGAAACATGTGTTATTATTGACTGGTACAAATTTGAGCAGGCCTTTTATTCTCCCTGCTTAATTTTGATCCTACTTGGATATATAATGAATGATTTTAATTGGATTTGAGCAAGAACTGACTTGTTAAACTTCAAAACTCAACAGTTAATCACTTCAAAGTATTATCTTGTTACACTGAACTCTTTCGTATTGATTCTGTTAAGAACTTACACAAAATCAACACATGACACACTTAATGAATTTTTAAGACAATAATGTTCTTATCTGGTAATCCGTTTGCACTTTGCCACTAAAACAAGGAAGCCAACTCCCCGCAACTGCTCTAAAAATAGGCCAGCAGGGCATGATGTGAAATGCCATAAAAGACATAAAGGAAACCCTTCGTATCACCAATTTCTTTTAGGAAAGATAGTGGATCTCAATTCGACGATTCTGTTTAAATCTCTAATAGATTCCAAACAAAAGGTGAGCCATAGTTTGGCCATAGTGTAAGGTGTAAAATGCAAATGAGTCATAGTTTAAGGGATGGTAATTTACCCATATTTAGTATTGTATATGCTTCATCAAACTAGATCAATTTGGACTAATATCCTTAGAGCAAATTCATTTTTATTTACTTTATTTTTTCTTTTTTGTTTTGTTTCATGATTTATTTTCGATATTCATTTTTTTCTTCTATTGACAATTGTTCTCAACATTTAAAAGTTTTTAAAGGATTCATGAGTTGTTTCATCTTTTTTATTATTCCCTTGCAGAAGGAAGGTCTGATATGTTTAGATATAGTACATGAACACTCGCGCACGCAAGTAAGTGGCAAAAATTGGCGTGCAAAAATGTCAAGTATGGTATTGAGTGATAGTTTGGTGATTTTTTAGAATTGCACTTGTCAAGTTATCTCTCAAAATTTTAACCCACAACTTTAACTAATAAAATATGGTTTGAAAATTGATGCATTAAATTCAAGTTAGTCTCTCAAAATTTTATAAATATATAAAATATTAGGAACATTTATTTTCATCTATGTGGTCAGTAATCTCTTAATTACTAGGAGCCACCAATATTTCTTCATTTTTTGTTGGAAAAAAAATGATGTGGAGAATATTTTTGAGACTATTATAAGTTCAAGGTTTTCCGATCATATTGATGTCTCCTAATAAGTGAGAGACTATTGATCACATTTATGAAAATAATGATTCCTAATAGTAAAGAGTAGTTCGTGGGTTGAAAATTTTGTGTGGTTCCTAATAAATTATGAGATTAATGGCCATGTCATGTAGTTCCTAGTAGTAGACCAACAAAAATAATTCATTATTTACTTCTGAATTCCCCGATAGTAAAAGACATTGTCTACTTGTTCTTATTTTTTTTAGTTTTTATTTTTTTGTATTATGAGGTTTTCTAGTAAAAAAACAAAGAAGTATATTTATTTTTTTTTCCTACTTATTTAGCTCTTTTTTTTGGATTGAACCAGTTCCTACTTATTTAGTTAAGAAATTGTTTTGGGACAATTACAAAAAAAAAAAAAAAAAAAAAAAAATCCAAAGTTTGACCTTTATATCAAAATACACCTTGAACTTTTAATTTTGTCAATTTAAACTCTAAACTTTTGATTTATTTTCAATCTAAACCATTTACCTATTTTTATTAAGTAAAATCGATTGAAAAAAAAATTATATTTTAGTCATTAAGCTCAATAAAAAAGATATTATAAATACATTGAGTTTAATGACTACAATACTATTTTTCAATTGATTTTACTTAATGAAAATAGAATTTTTTAGTCATTAAACTCAATAAAAAAAGATATTTTAAATATTTTAAGTATATAACTAAAATATTATTTTTCGATCGATTTTACTTAATGAAAATAGGTGAATAGTTTAAATTGAAAACAAATTAAAAGATTAAAGTTTAAATTGATAAAATTAAATATTCAGAATTTATTTTGTTAAAAAGCTCATCTTTAGGCTTTTTTGCAATTGTCCCAACTATTTTTCATAATGGACTAATTATTTTTTATTTATTTTTTTTTTGCAGCACGATGTATCAACTCAAGGAGGTGAGGTTCCCTCCAATGATTTTGTGGATAGCACTGAGCAATTTACACCTGAAGGGGTTAGCTCAACTAACTTGTACTGTACATGAATATATAAAATTTGTTTTTATGATATTGATTTGACTTTTTTGGGTGAATATTGATTTGACTAAATATGTAGGTTCTCTATGACAAAGATCAATTTGTCAGATGGGCACGTGATGTTTATAAGAACGACGGTGTTGTCCTTGTTATTAGGTCATCGAAGGATGATAAGATTTATTTTCGTTGTGAGAGGCATGGCAAAAGTGCAAAGAAGAAGAAGAATGGCCAAACCAGTTCTAAGAAGTGCAATTGTCCTTTTCAGATAGTGGGATCCAAAAAGAAAAATGGAATATGGTCACTGAGAAAAATTGACGGATCCCATAATCATTGAACGCGGACCTTCTAGAAAGACATTCATACATGTAGGGAGATTTTTAAACGTTGACAAATCAATAGATGTGTGTTGTCATTACAGAATGTTTGTTTCATGGAGTTTTATGGTTGCTAGATATTAACAATATGTTAATTTGCTATGGTTATGTTTGTCTGAGATGGTTGAACAATGGGCATGTTAATGTTTTGATAAATAATGGCAGATTAATGTTTAACAATATATTTGCTAAATGAGATAATGACATTCGGTAGGATGCAAGAATGTGAACATCAGGTGCACTCACAAGAAAGCAAACAAACAAACCTACAAAACAAAGTAAACAACAAACTTATATGCATGAAGACCAGCGAGAACAGAAAATAAAACCTGAAAGCCAGCCTAAACGAAGAGAAATGACCAAAAATTGATCCAAATAGATATTCTGTTGAATGTAATTTAATGCCAATGAAAAATACAAATTGCTATGTACACTTTGGTAGAATATATTTCAAGGAAATAACCAAACCAAGCCTTAAGTTCCATCAAATGAGGTTGGCTACATGAATCCTTCTTCTCCACTCAACTCTATCCAAGGCCATTTCGTTAGTCAAATTAAGGAGGTTCATATCTCTATTTACTACGCTAATCCACGTCAATCTAGGTCTGCCCCTTCCCTTAACCCTTCCACCTACCGTCACTGTATTGCATCTATTCACTACTGCCTCTGTTGGTCTCCGTTGTATATGACCAAACCATCTCAATCTATTCTCTCTCAACTTATCTTCTATTGGTACTATTCCTACCCATTCTCAAATATACGCATTTCTAACTCTATCTTTTCTAGTCTTGCCACACATCTACCTTACCATCTTCATCTCAACAACACTCTTATTATCTACATGATGTTCCTTTTAGCTTAGTGAGTACTCGTTTATTACACAAATACCCCAGACGCACTCCTCCACTCAAGCCACCCTCTTTTAATTCTACGGATCACATCCGCTCCAATCTCTCAAACCGTTGTGACAATCGATCATAAATAACGAAAATGTTCACTAGACCATTGCTTAAGACCATGTAACCCAATACACACACCCAAACCACTCTCTTCTCCAACCTCCAACCCATATCCCACCTTCACGTGTCTCTCAAACCTCATCATCATCTGCCCAATTTTTACTCTCAACTTCCCATTCTTCCAAAACCCACTTCAATTCTGTCACCCCTCAAAACATTTTCCACCTTTTGCACTAAAAAGATTGCAATTTTGCTTGTATATATATATATATATATTTACATACAAGGCAATCGAAGAAAAAAAAATTATAGATCATGGACCCCGAGGATAACCCAGATCATACAAACAGCGATACACAAAATTCGCAACTAATCAGCAAATAATATAAAGCATATATGGAGAGTAAGATTTTATACATATACATATATATATATGCATGTGTTCTGTCATCCCAACCAGAACAAATAATATTTGCATGGAGAGTAAGATTTTATACATATATATATATATACATAGATATTTGCATATGGAGAGTAAGATTTTATAATCAGCAAATAATATTTGCATGTGTTCTGTCATCCCAACCAGAACAAACAACATATATATATATATATATATCATTTTTCATTTTTTGCATTGTCTGGAGAGTAAGATTTTAGGCAATCCCTTCAAACATCCATTCATTAAGGTTTTGAAAATTAGGAAAAACAAACAAATTGATTTTGAAAACTAGGGAAAACAAAGGAACATAGAATAATTGAGCGAGCGAGAGGGAGAGAGAAAGAGAGAGAGGACCCATATCTGATCTCGGGACTGTTTGAAGATAGGCGCACTGGTAGTAGTAGAAAAATGGCGATGGTGGTGTTGTTAGGTGCGAAAATAAAGAGCAACCATGTGAGTGAGAGGAGTAATGGAAAACAAATACAAAGATTTTGAGAGAGAGAGAGAGAGAAACATAGAGAAAATATATACGTAACAATGGAGGCCGTTTGACTTCTCGAAGCGCCGCTGATGCTTGCTCGAAGAAGCAACGCAGGTGACTACGAAGACGGAGGAGAAGCGATTTTGGTGACTGTAATCGAGTAGGAGAATCAATGGTGAGGTGCGTATGAGGAGTGGCGCGCGGTATAAAGAGTTTGAACAATTTCTTAAATCTATTGACATTGGGCAATTTTTTCCTACCAAACAAATTGGTTGGTATTTTCCTTCAATGTAGTTAAATAATAATAAAAAAACAGCATAGTTTTATTATCTGCGACCAAAATATTTTAGTCACTAAATTTTTTTTCATTCCCGCTTTTTTTGGTCTTCCCTCTTCGACTTTTGCTGACCAAATTTCAATTTTGGTAGCAGAAAATTATATTTTGGCAACTAAAAAATCTTAGTCGGCAAAACTCCAAACCTTTGCCTACCAAATTTTTATTTAGCTGCCAAATGAAAACTTTTTGTGACTAAATAAAAGTTAGTCGGCAAAATTGGTCAGGAAAAATGTAATTTCCTGTAGTGACTCTTAGGTAGTTCTTAGTTCTCAATCTTCACTTCTCCTCTGCTTCCATTGTTACTGTTACTAAAATTACACTACATGTATTCTGTTTTAATCCTGCTTATCCTAAATCCTTTAAATTTAAAGAAATATTCCAACAAAATACTGAAACACTATTTAGACTTATATAAAATGGAAGAATCAAAGATCAAATGTACAATGTGCAATAACCCAATATGACTAAGCTAACTAAAGAATATGGACCCATGTTGCCAACACCAAGTAATTGGGATTACGGCTTTTTAAGCTAATTTTATTGAGCTTCAATTATCTGACTTATTTTTGGAGCATGCGCGCATGGGCAGGAGAGGGAAGTTAAAAGTAATGAGAATGCTTCTTGAACATTTGAAGTTCACTTAAAATCCTTAAGTTGCCAACTTGATAGAACTATAATTCAATAATCCAAGCCCATAGTTTTCTAAAAATTCAAAAAAAGACTGACCCATTAATTCTGAAGTTAATCTTAGGTAATATCCTAGTTGAGTATAGTCAAAATTGAAAATAATAAAGAGTAATATCTTAGCCAAGAAATGCAATAACAAATTGACAATATATATTTAAAACTGAAAGGCAAGAGTAAACCTTGAAAATCCAGCAGAACAAGAACCAACTTTACCGGCAATAATGCTCGAGTCAATCAGGAAAGTGCTTGTAGCCAGTAAATATATATGGACAAAGGAGCCCAATTTGGATACATATGGATAAAACTTTTGAGGGTATTCCTGATATTTGCACAACAAAAAAGTTATGTGATAACCTATTTAACCAAACATGTTCAACTTTTTTCACAGATTATCGAAAGCAACACCTTCACTACTTACTTTAAGTCTTTTAAGTTATTAACCTTAAAAGCTATAATCATAAATGCTAACTTATAAGTGATACTATGATACCAAATTGGCCCAACAAACGTCAACAATATATTTTTAAGGGGGGAAAACAGTATTTATTATTTTTGGATTAGTAAACCAAAAACAAATTTCACCCTTTTCGTGTATTTGATTTGACAAGCTTTAATACCCTATAAACCCATCTGTATATAGCATTTGCATTAAAAATACAATAGTCATTAATAAACTGATGCTACACTGTTTTATCAGGATAAAGAAGACAAACAAGGCAAACACATGAACAGAGTTCAAATTTTATCTGTTGAAGAATATCATCAAAACCTGATCGTAAAGTCTCCTTTAAAATCTTGGATGGTGGAAAGATATTTCCAATATTTCATAAACCAATATATATATACCGTTTTAAAAGCTTTCATTTCACTCACAGAAAGGTAAAAGTTTTTTATAACTAAAATATTTTAGGAAAAAACTGAAGAGTTATAAGACTTGGCCCAACATGAAAATAGTTAAAAACTGCAAATACTTTTTTGTCCTGCCACCACAAAATTGCAATGAAACAATATTGTCAAGCATTCCAACAAGAATGGAAGCTGCTACTCACACATCAAATTAATTGGAAGTTGGAAGAAATCGAGTACATGATGCGCATACATTTGGTTCACATTAATTCAAACAGAAAATTATAGGAGCATACTTATTGGGAATGGTACTATTTTCCCATCCTATATGGTTTCCATGTCAAGCTGAACATTAAAAATATTATTACTTCCCCATGCTATATGGTTCACAAGGATGTATGGCTCACAACAAACTTCCACATATGATTTGAACAAGATAACAGGTTTTAAGTTTTAAACACAAGGTAACTAGCCGGTTGACCTAATCTTTACATCTTTAACATTTAGCTATGGCATGGACAAGAAATTCTGGGTGGTTAGATATAGTTTATTATTAATATCAATATTACTTTTCATCAATGCAAAACCATGCTTTTCATTGAAAAACTCAATTAAAGATTCAATAACTCACTCAATTACAGTACAATCCTCAGAGCATGTACCACCAAGTTCTTCATACCCATTAACTTCAGCCATACTATGAAGCCACTGAGTTCCTGCCACAGTAATTACAAAATTACAACAGAAGATCAACAGCAAGAGGCTATAATAGGTGTTTCAAGGATTAGTTCACTAATAATGTGTTCATCTAGAGTCCAGGTTAATCAGGTTGTGTTTGGTTATGGGTTTCATCTAGTCCTTATCTGGAATTACTTCAGCCATAAATTATAAGGAAAATTTATATGCTTTCACACAAGCAAGCAATTGATAGTTCAACAAATTTGATTAATAATAATTCTAACAAATTTTGCTCTCTTTGTAATGAGACTCACACTGATTTCTTTTTGGTGAGGATATTCTAAGGTTTCTTTACTTTTTCTTTTCTTGTTTTAATCTTTCTTTCCTATTATGATTTTCAACATTGCTGAACACAATTAGCAATTACAATCAGGCATTCTAAAAGACTAAAACCCACATTGATCTAAAAAACATAACTATTTTCAAACCTCAAACCCTAGCATTAGTTATTAAGCCCCACCCCCACCCACACCCAAAGAAAGGCTGTATCCATCCATTTCATACCAAAATCCAGCTCCAATCAAACCTCAACCAATTCATTAATAGATGGAGAACAATATGGTTACTTCATCCTACTTTTGTCATATTTGAACTCCTTTAAGCAACATGTATGACCAACTAACATGACTAAATCAGTTGGCCACCTCCGCACATTTCTTTATGGGAAGTCAAGGTCAATCCTTACTAAATACAAAGATTGATAATTTCTCCCTTATTATGGGGCTTTGTTGCATTGTTGGTTTCTTCCTCATTATACGGCTCTTTGTTGGGCCTATATATCTGTTAGACTATGATTGTCTAGTTAGAATTCTCAGCATATTGTAAATACTCCTACTTATTGACCCAAAAAAAAGCAACATATATGACCAGAAACACACATGTAGTGTCCATCATCACCTTTTGGTAAGGATTTCCTGCAATCACAACTGAGAAAAGATAGGCACACACCCATTTACACTTCCAAACACACACCCATAGAGAAAGTGAAAATATAAACTTCACAGCTTCCTCAACACACACCCATAGAGAGTGAAAATATAAACTTCACAGCTTCCTCAATGGGTGTAAATGGATGTGTGCCTAGCAAAGTAGATCAAATGTATTGTACCAAAATTATGTAACCAGATATTAGATTAGTAGAGAAACCCAATGGCCAGATAATAAAAAAAAAATTAAAAAATTGACACAAACTTGTAACAAATATATAAGAGACCAACCTTGAATTTTTTCTTTTTAATAAGTAGAAATTCTTTAATAAATTGTACACCAAAAAACTAGTAAATTAGGGAATTTCACATGCAACTAAAGAGATAGATGGATTACTCAGAAGGAATTTAAGGTGAGCAATTACCAATTGGCTGAAGTAACATTGTGACTGTATTCTTCCAGTGATCTCGAATTACAATTATAATCCTGCAGGCTGCAGGTCTTCATCACAAGCTATTAAAATCCAATCATTGTCATCATTGTAAGTTCCAACCTTTAAGTTCAGCCTCTTTGCCACTTCTTGTTGAAAATCTACCATTCCCGACAACACAGGGAACTGAAATTTAATATAATCATCTCCATATTTTACCTTCATAGTTACAATACTAGTAGCTTGTGCTGCCATAAAATGTGGTTCTATGGGAGCAGCAGTAGCCAAGTATTTCCTATGAGAAGGATCAGAAATTGAAGACTGACTACATTGTCGAATTTGATCCCGAGCAGCAACTAGGACAAATTTATTGGAAAGAGAGTTGTTCTCCTTGTTTCTCTTATGAGTTAACAAGTTGACCACCAAGAGATATTATATCCCCTGCAAGCACACTTCAGCATAGATCAGCTAACTACAAAAGGAACAATACAGATAAGAAGAAAATGCTTTATGTTTGCTACTACGAAAAGTATATGGATTTTCCCAAAGAATCTAGCTAGTAACAATTTTCCCAAGAATGTAAGCTTACCGCAAAGGCTTTTTGCAGCATCATCAAGTTTCATTCCAAAATGTTGTTGGATATCCCCAAAACTAATTTGAATTCCAGCTTTTCTGTGTTGTCTTTGGGATGAGTTAGCTATGCATTTTTTAAATGAGGAAGTAACAACATTGTTGGTTTTTTCTATTTTACTAACAACATCATTTCCAGTGTATATAGTATCTATTTTTATTAATTGTTGATCTGATACATCCTGCCACTCCATCTCCCCTTTAATCTCCATCCTATCTGCAGGAGATCTTGCAATTTGGGGTAAAGAATCAAGTTTATCATCCTTTGAAAAATCAATAACTTCAATAGGTAACTGCTCTCCTAGTTCTTCTCCAGAAGGAACCATAAAACTTTGAAAATGTTGCTTCATTGTTGTCAATAACGGAACCACAATGATTATCGGATCCCCGCCTTCAGTGTTACTTGGAGGCAAAAAGAATTCTACTACGTAAACATTGTCTCCAGTATAACTACTCCGCAAGCAAATTGCAAAACAGCTCGTAAGTCCATACTCGTGTGCATAATGTGCCAAGGGGTACTTAATTATGCTAAATTGAGTAATATCTTTGCAGAAGACCAACTTATTGGACGAATATGCCATACCAACAACTCCCTGCCCCTTTCGTATGTGATGCGAAGCACATGCATTTGAGAAAGGAAACTTATCTTTCTCCCTAAGACAGACTACATCAATTATGGATGCAAGTTGTTCCCAGCAACTTACACTGAAGCTCTCATCGGCAACAACACTGCAAGGCCAACACAAGATCCAAGTCTGAGCCAAAGGTAGAAAATGAGTTCTACACACCACTTCCAGCACCACCCTGATTTCAACCAGTGCAATCTCAAGAGCTTTATCCTCATCCTGATAATAATTTGAAAGTATTTTCACGAATAGATATTTGTGAGACCACAATCCCAGTCCTTATAGAAATCTAATGAAGAAAACAATAAAAGAATTGAGATTTGAATTAAGGCTTGACTTACATGCTGACAATACGAATAATTACATGTTCTTGAGCTTCTCAAACCAACAGCCTGCAGGGAAACTCAAATGATGTAACTAAAGATTCTTGACAGATATGAAATGAAAGATATTTAAAAGAAGCATACATTGCATACCCAAAATGGAAAAATTAGCACAGTTGTGGGTATTAACAGACCAACTTAGGTTGCCACCAATGTATAATTGTCAAAGCCAACTCGGGTTCTGCACACAGTTGTACCTTACCTTGGAATAGGCTATTTCTATTTCTAAACATAATTTTATGTCTAAAGCAGCAATGCATACGGTCCAACACTAGAGCAGAAGTTGGTATTGCCCAGCAATGAGGCTACTTAAACATACACAATTGATGTTGCATTTTCACTTGAACAAATGTATACAGAAGATACAAATGATCTGATATTAGAACAAATGGCTCAATACGCCCATGAGAATTGTTGTCAACTCCATGTAATAAAACTATAGATGGGCAAAGATTAACAAACCATTAAGGCTAGAAACAGAAATTAACAATCATCTGATAGGCATGAGAGGGAATAAACAAAGCTAGAAACAGAAGAAAACAAGAGAAGATAAAAATGGGACAGATTATTTCAATTAGGGTTAGGGAGATAGGAGACAAACCTCAAGATCATTGCAGATCCAATGTTTGAAAAGACTAATGCAATGTTTCATTTCAGCACTAGTCACTAACTCAAGTACACCAACACATCCCCACCCAGAATCATCAAACACTGGCAAAGCCAAGGATCCCCAAATATTGCTATTGACAGCACCATCGCGCTGCGGATACTCTTTGCGGGAGTAATACCGCACATTTGGTGTAAACTCCGGCCGTTGATACTGGAACACACGGCCTGGGAGGCCAAGGCATTCATCACTCTCCCCATCCACATAAAATTGATAATCCACAGATCAATCTATAGGAACAAAGTCCTTCGTGGGTTGTGTTAATACCGAAAGGCTGGTCTTTTTGTTGCAAGTAAATACCTGCCCCCAATTTCTAGGGCTTTCCAAACCTCAACTAGAACTTATTTCGGGGTGTAATTTCGGCCTGTGGCCCTCGGCTGATCCGAAACCTGCTTGCGGCCCGAGGCGAACCCGGCCCCGTTAAGGCCTGCTTAGGCTTGAGCCTAAGCCTAAGCCCAATTCGAGGCCTTGGGCCATCATTTTGAAGCCCGGGCCGGCCCGTTGGCTCACTCAAGGCCTGTCCAAAAGCCCCGACTTGAGGCCCGGCCCGCCCAGGCCACCCGATGTCCAGTGTTATTTTTAATGAAAATTATTAAATTTTGGTGAATGTCATCTCTTGAAAAAACTATTTTATCTTTTGTAGTATAAGATTTTCGCTTATAAGTTAAATACATACGAAAAATTAATTTATTAAAAAAATAAAAATATAAAAGATTTATCATTTTTATATAATTTTATTTTTAGTGAGTAGAAATAATTTTTAAAAATTTAAAAATACTTTTTTTATATTTATTTTTGTCAAATTAGTTATACATTTATTAAATTAACGATTTTACCCTTAAAACGAAAATCGAAGTCGCTCAAGCTAAGAGCAATGAAAACTGTAGTCGCTCAAATAGTCTTTAAAATTCTGCAAAACTACCGAATGCTTTATAATGTGCGCTTGAGCGCTAACTTCATCGCTCGAGCGATAAGGTCGAATTCTGAGTTTCAACACTTGAAGAAAAATGCACCAAATTTAATTTCAAAAGCTAAACTCTTACATGACATGCTCTAAACCATGAAAACGCTTTCAAAAATATAAACATATGTCCAACTGCAAGTCTTTAGCTCAAAGCCTCATGAATTTATCAAAATTAGATCTTAAAATTTCATGCATGCATGAATTGGTTTCAAATTCTTTTCCCCAAAAATTGAACTTCAAATCACTAAGAACTATGGATGCATGTATGATTCAACTCCCAATTACAACATGGATGACAAAAATCATGATCAAAATGATAAATCTCTACATATTTATGCATACATGTTTGTCTAGCTTCAAATTAACTTATCTTAAGCTAATTTCTTATAATTAATCTTAATTCCTTCAGGAATTCATTAGCTAGGTGACTTAATTTCATGAATCAACTATAACGCCCTCAAATAAATGATATAAGACAAGTCTAATCGACTCCTTCAATTACAATAATTTCAACTCAGGTGGCCCAATATCTATGTTTGTATTCCATTAATGTGAGAGATCTACAAATGAGTCCACATGCATTACATATTCAATCTTTTTAAATGGTGAATCTATAGCATATGCGACAATTGACACAACAGAAACAACACAAAAGAATGTCCAATGGACTACTAGTTCCAAGGCTTAAGCCCGATTACACAAAAGATGGTCATCCAAAACCCATACAATTAAAACCCTTGGCTTGCCAGAAATACACAACAAAATCAGAGAGAGCCTCGTGCTCTCAAGCACATTCATCACCCTTAGTTAGGCAATAGCACCGCATCTTTTCCTGTACAATCCACTAGAGGTGAGCACAAGCTCAATAAAGAGATCTTAACAAAGTATATATGTTTAAGTAGTCTTATAATATGAATGTTATGCAATGTCATGCTTCAAAATCCATAACTTTGTTTCATTTTGAAAACCATATGCAACTTTCGTTTCAAAAGTCATTATATCAGAAAATTACAAAATATACAACAGGCGGTAAATACAACTTAGGTAATCCGTAGGTTGGTGTCTGCAAGTAGGCATGTCAAGCACTACCAATCCCCACTTTACCCGCTCCTAACCAGAAGGCACGTGGAACCCACTCCGAGCGTGTTTTCGGTCTTTTACCCTGGACACTCAGGCCAACTTAAATAATACCAATCTACACCCCCTATCCGGACTTACCAAATGTATTTACTCCAAAACTTTTCAAGATTTACAATTGTTTTATCAACAACAATTCAATTTCCAAAACATAGCAATAATAATTAATATTCAAAGCCATGCAAATGCATGCATGTAAGTACAATTTTACACTTCTTATGTTCCCCAATATATTTTACCTTAATACAATACAATCATTAACATCTTCAATGTTTTCAAATTATCTATCAATAGTCATATCCATGGGACACAAGACCCAATCTTCAATCACAATATTATACAATTTTCAACCTTTCTATGATTTCAATCACTCTTACTATACTATCCGTGGCAATTTCTCAAACAAAATTTTCCTTATTTACAAGGATGATTCAACAATGAAATAACATATAACTTTCTTCATCTTTTTTAACAAAATCCCATAATTTCATGAGTTTTCTCTCAACAATTTCAACTTTTTCCCAAATTTCAAATTTTAGGGTTTCACCCAAAATAAATTTCATTTATTCTCAAGAGGTATTCTTATCAATTGACTTTTAATACTTATACATTTCATGAATTAAAAACCAATTCCATAACAAAGGTGAGAAATTCCCATTCAAAACCTTCATTCAAACTCCCAACTCATAACTTAAATATTTCATCAAGAGGAAGCTAGAACATGCCAAAATCATATATATAACTGAAAGAAATTCCCTACCTCAAGATTTGGAGAAGAAGAGAGAAGAAACCTCCAAAATTGACGGTGTTGAAATCCGATCTCCACCACACAAAATGCAGCCCTTAAAGAGCTCTCCAACTTTAATGAAGGAACTTGAGTCAAAACTCAAATGGATTTGGAGACATCAAAGGTTTAATGGAGTTTGGTAAAGGTTAATGTAGAAAGAAGAAAGAGAAATGTATTTTAGAGAGAGAGAGATGAGGGAAAAGTGAGGTAGGTGCTCAGCCCAAGGAAATAAAAAGAAAAAAAATTCAGACACAGCACATTTTTGCACGTGTACACCTTATTCCTCACGTACGGAGTGTACCTCTACTGCGCATGCGTCACTCATTCCTCGCACGTGTAGTTATTTCAGTCTCGCACTCCCAGACATTCTCTATCGCTACACGTACGGTATATCTCCCGCACGTACCCTCCGCTCGTGCATTTATTTTCAGTCACCAACACCGTGAAGTCTCCATCACCATACGTGTGGCACCCTTCCCACATGCATGATTTTATCCTCCACGTGTGCGGTTCTACTGCCACCTAAAATTTTGCGAGCACAAGATAGTTCCAAACAATCCCGACTCCAACTACGCTCCCGAAACAAGAGAACTCAACTCTGGAAAGGAAATAAAGATGTAAATTCGAGAAAAGTCTCAAACGATGACAAGCTGAAACGACCTACAAAGCCTTGAGTTAGTTCTCTGACATCCCAAACATGAGAAAATAAGTACGACTAAACGGAAATAAGACGGGTTATGTACCCAGACGTCACATTAAGGATCAAACTCTTACCTAGAGTCTTGAATTATACTTGTTCTAGCAAATTCTTAGTCTCTTCTTCTTAGACCTTCAATCTCTTAGCCAAATCTTCAAGTTCTTTAGCTCCATCTCTCTAAAATGAACTCACTCTCTCTCTAAAATGATGCTCCAGTAGATTTTGTGTTGTAATCAACTAATTCAGCTCTTCTTCCTATATATATATATATATACTTGTGATTAGCTTAATACACTAACTAGAGATTAGGCACTAATTAAGGCTTAAGGCTAATTAATCAAAACTTAATTTTACTAAACTGAATCCAATTTTAATCAAATTTCCCAAAAGGCTCTAAAAATTATGACACCCTAATTAAACTCGTCAATTTCGGTTTCTGAAGTCATTAAGGATTTCAATTTCAAATTCAAAACAGAAATCATAATAGATAATTCACCAATCAGACAGATACACACAAATTAAACACAAAGCACATAATCAAAATTCAAAACTAAATAAATATAAGTATGTTACGTGGTGGGGTTATCACAGTCTTCCCCCTTAACAAGTTTCGTCCTCTAAACTTGTGTTACCTTGTATCGGAAACAGTTTGGGATACCTTTGTTTCATGTCATCTTCTTTCTCTTATGTGGCTTCTTTGCCATAACGTTCCTTCCACTCTACCTTAATCATAGGAATTGCTCTATTCCTCAATTGCATTACTTGTCGATTGATAATTTGGATTGGTTTCTCTTCATATTCCATATCATCGTCAAGAGCTATCCAGTGATAATCGATAACGTAAAACGAATCCCGGAGATAACCCCTTAACATAGACACATGAAACACATTGTGCATTTGTTCCATTTCGGGCAGTAGAGCAATCTAATATGCAACTGGACGAAGCTTTTTCAAAATCTGAAACGGTCCAATATACCGTGGTGATAACTTGCATTTCTTCCCAAATCTTGACTGACCTTTCATTGGAGTTACCCTAATGATCACTAACATCATACTCTAAAGCTCTTTTTTTCTGATCCGCATAACTCTTCTATCGGTTTTGTGCAATTTTGAGTATTTACTGAATGATCTTAATCTTTTCGATGGTTGTTTGCACAATTTCAGGTCCAAACAAAACTCTGTACCCAACTTCTATCTAACAAATCGGAGATCTATATTTTCTACCATATAAAGCTTTATACGATGCCATACCAATGCTAGTGTGGAAACTATTGTTGTATGTAAATTTCGCTAATGGCAAATGGGTTTTCCAACTTCCTTGAAAATCTAAAACACACATCCGAAACATATCTTCCAAGGTTTGAATGGTTCTTTTAGACTGTCCATCGATTTGTAGGTGGAAAGCGGTACTAAATCTCAACTCTATTCCCATCGCCTTTTGAAGACTTTGCCAGAATCTGGACACAAACTTAGGATCCCTATCTAAAACAATAGTTACCAAAACTCCATGCAAACGAATAATCTCATTAATATAAATAGTAGCAAGCCTATCTGCATTATAAAAGGTTTTCACAAGTAGAAAATGTGCAGATTTAGTTAACCTATCCATAATAACCCAAATAAAATTTATACCTCTAGGTGTCCGAGGTAGTCCAATAATGAAATTCAATGTTATGTGCTCCCATTTTCATTTCAGAATAGGGAAAGGTTGAAGCAATCCCGTCGGTCTCTAATGTTTAGCT